CGGCTATCTGACTTGGCCCGGGGGCCAGGTAGCCCAGGCTCAGGAGCGGAAGGTAGTCACTCCTTATGGTCTGCACCCGCATGGGGCTTCAAGCAGAACCAGCAAACGTGGTAGCCACGCGAGCACTTCTCCTTCGACTGATCACAGGCCTTGCGGTTGTAACGGAAGCAAATCGGTCGGCCCTGTTCATCCCTGGTCTTAGCGCCAGGCGGAATGTCAATGCCCTTGCCTGCGCCCTTGCCGCCAGTGGCCGTAGATGAGGCGGCCGCATCCTTGGCCGCATCCTTGGCCGCCTTCATCTTTGCCGCCTTTGCCAGGCGCCGACGCTTGGCACGAGTAAGTGCATCCGGGGCCTCCGTATCAGCCGTCAACTTGGGGGGCGGCGGGACGTGGCCAGAGCCATGAGCTCGCGGCATCAAGGCGAAGGAAACCTCAGGAGCATCCTTGAGTGAATCCACCGCTGCATCAATCGGCAGCGGGCTGCCGGAAGTCAGCGCTTTGCCCCTTGTTTCCTGAGACACCAAGACCCATAATGTTTTGTCGGCATCCACCACCTGCCGCAGGGCAACGGGATGCTGCCCCGGGTACACTGGTCGCATCATATGGCCGAAGAAGCGCGAGATGACCTTGTCCAAGACTGTGAAAGTCGCGATGCCGGCCATGTGAAAAGCAAGGGCACGGCGCTGCATGCACGTCCGCACATGCAAGTCTGTGCTGGTGTCCGCCGTGACCGCTGCATGGTTCTTGGTAACCTTGATGTTCAGCTGCTCAAGCTTGAATGTAACAGGGTCACGCTTTTCCGAGCGCATCTCCGCCTCACGAGAAGTACACTTGGACAGCTCCAAAGGGCCCAGGCACTGTTCTTCCGCAAACGAAACTGCTTTGTCGACCAGGGCATGGGATGGCTCCAACCAGGTATCGATGGTCATGCCCGGCAAGGATTTGCGAAGACGGTCAAGACGATCCACCCGATCTGCCATGGACAACCGTTTGGCCTCCTCCCGCGGCTCGAACTTGTCCTTCAACTCCTGGACTGCCAAAGTATGGCTGGTGTAGAAGAGGTGGCGGAA